CAGAAAAAAGGGAGGCCCCTGCCCGTGTGGAGGACCTAGATTAAGAAGCTGCTATAAGAGCTCACAGACCAGCCCATCCCTTCCTGCTAGCAGATTTTTCATAAGGACAGGAGTGGGTGCTCAGGAGCATGGGCAGAAAACCTGTTGCCAGCGCTTCAAGCGATCCCTGGGGACGTTCAGCCAGGTCCTGGACTTTCCTCCTAGGGCCGAGCCTCCTTCCCACATCACTGATAAGCACCATCCCTGCGTGTCACACCCTTCTTGAGTTCACGCTGGGCCTTTTGGCACAGCCTCCTCCCAGGCTAGCCTTCATTCAATTAAGCTTTCTCTGGACTGTCATCTTTGTTCGGGGTATTTGTTTGAATTACTGGGAGTAAGTTGCTGACAAAAGAGTTCTACCTTTGCAGCTCAACTGTCGTGCAGTGATGTGGCTGCTGTGGCTGTGCCTGACCATTCAGCACACTTGCCTGTCTTGTAAGGAACACCTGTTTCCTAAGGATGGAGTCCCGTTCTCCCTCCGATAGTCCCCACTGCATGCTGACACTGCATCTGTGCGCACACAACCAACACCACCCTTCTAGGAGAATGCAAAACAGGCCCCCGGATTTTCAGAGATGAAATGCAGTTGCAGGGCGCCCTCTTGTCCTGCTCCCCTGCCCTTGGGGAGGAAGTAGCAGCGGAGTGTGCAGTCTTGAGCTTCCACAGTGGAAGACCGAACGGGGGGACGTGAAAGAGCAGCGCATACGGGAGCAGTCGCTCCGGAATTGCCCTCTGCTGCCTGCCTCCCCGAGGCTGCTTGGGGAACTCGTGCCCCCGCTGCACAGCCTTTCCTCTGGTGGCCGAGTGTAAAAATGGCAAAGAAACAAAGAGCATTGCATAAAGGTTACTGTAGTCCACAAAAACTGCATCAGTAAATCCGGTGTTTAAGGAGCTGTTTTTGGGGCAAGACCGATGCAACTACTGATGAGTGTAGTGACTGAGGGCGGCTGGGTGTCCGCCATCCTAGCGGATCCTAAGCGCAGGACAAAGGGCATGACTCAGAGTGACCACACTGGAGTGTCTGGGCAAATGACCAAGTTTTGACCTGGCTCTGAGAAGCACGGCTGGGGTGCCACTCTGGAGAAGGCACCTTCCCTCGTGGGCCCATCCTGCATGTCCCCATGAAGCCGCCTCCGGAGGCCTTCGAGCACAGGGAGGCTGACAGCGATCTCCCGCCCCGTGAGCCCCTTTCATGGCTTGAGGGGGAGCGCCTCGCTCCCTTTCTGCCTGGCCCTCCCATGCATTGCTGGCTTTTATGCCAGGCCACACAGCAGGGGGGCTGTGCAGATGTCCCGGCACTTGGGAAAATAAATGCCCCTTGCCTGCCGCGATGGGGTCCTGTTCGTGGCGACTCCTGCAGAGAGAGTGTTAGAGCCAGGCTGCCTTGCTAAGGCTGCTGCATGGCTGCTGCAAAAATGCAGGTGCTGCGGGGGCTTGTGGGTGGCCGCTTTCCGCTCTGTGGGGGCCCTTGTGAGGGCCACAAGGAGGAAAACCGGGTGGCTGCAGGGTGGGAGGGCAGGCTGAACATTCAGAGGGGCTTTAGGCATGGATGAAAGTCCCTCCCATACCGCAGGACACGTGGGTGTGCTCAGCTGTTCTTCCTCTACGGCACTAACATCCTTCCCACCCCCTTACATATGGGATGGAGGTTCTGCGTTTCTCAGCTGCTCCCAGGAAATGAGTGGCTTTCTCGAGAGGAAAAAAGGGGAGGTGGAAACCACATTCGCCTCTCCTCCCGTTGCCTGGCATGTGGCGCCTGGCCTGGGAGTTGGGGGTGCAGGCATGGCCTCAGAAGGTGTGCTCGGGCAGCATGCGAGGGGCCAGAGGGCAGGCAGCTCCTCGGGTGAGCCGAGCACCTGCATCAAGCCTCGTTTTTCAGGAGGAGGAGGCGATCTGCCCTCATCCTGTGGACGGCGCCCAGGGCACTTTCCCTGGAGGATTCCCTGGGATCGGCTCTTATTTAACACACTGGTTTATCTGGGCCTCCTTCCTTGTCCCAATGGGATTAGAGGATCAGAAATAACAGGACAGATTAAGGGGTGAGCATGGCCGAATGGCCGCCTGATCCTCTTAGTGCGGGAGCGCATGCTGGCAGCCGAGGGAGCGATGGCTGAGCGCGCCACTCTGGGTGCCGCCGTCTTCCGCAACCTCAGGGCACCTGCCCCCCAGCGAGCAAAGCCACTTGGCCCCTCCCAGCACTTTCTCTTTCTGCTGCCCGGCAGAGCCCTTCCTCCCCGGGCAGACTTTCCACAGTGCCTGGCAGGGGCCCGGGCCTGGGCCTGGCCTTGTGGAGGGGGCAGCAGGCTGGGAAGCTGCGGGGCCCATCAGGCCTCATCGGCTGCTCCCTGTTCCCTGGTTCTGCTGTAATGTTTGGCTGTGTCTCGTCTCTCTTCCAGTATCAGGTGGGGCAGCTGTACTCAGTGGCCGAAGCCAGCAAGAACGAGACTGGAGGTGGTGAAGGGGTGGAGGTCCTGGTGAACGAGCCCTATGAGCGCGATGGGGAGCGGGGGCAGTACACGCACAAGATCTACCACCTGCAAAGGTGCGTGGCGGGGAGGGGCCCGGGGGGTGGGGCTGAGCAGTCTGCCGGGTGGATCCAGGCCGGCCTGCAGAGGCCTTGCTTGGGGCTGCCCGCTTGGCTCTGCCTGTGCCTTCAACGGGGCTTGGAAGAGAGAGCAGGAGGGTGGAGCAGGCTGGAGGAAGGGGGCACATGCCTTCACTGTTCAGCCCTGGCTGGAGCGAGTGACCCACTTCAGGTGGCTTGGGGAAGCTCCCGGGCTTTAGATGTGCCATCAATGCGGCATCCTTAGGATGCCACCGAGGAGATGCCATCATCCTCCATTTGGAAACCTTCCTGGTCTCATTCCCAAGGTTTCTTCCGGCTTTTTCTCACGGAGCTATGCAGAGTTCTCGGCTGGGTGGGCAAAAGCGCCATGGATTTGTTCCACCCGTGGATTTGCTGGCTGCTTGGCGCACCCAGAGAGGCCAGCCCTCCTGGCCTGTGGCAGAGTCCCCTAAGCAGAGGTCGCATGGGTCACAATTCGGGGAGGATCTTCTGGATGTGGGGATAGCATCCCCTCCAACTGTTAGAAAGGGATTGTCAGCTCTTTGAACCCGGTGCCAAGCAAACAGAGAGGCCCCCAGGGCTTCCCTCTCGGGGCTTCCTACGTGCTCTCATGGCTCCCGGCGTGACCTTGACTGGCAGCCCCATTCTGGGGAGCCATTGCGTGCTGCTGGCCCTGAGCTGCTGCTGCCGCCACCGGCACTTCCCTGCTAGGCCTTCCAGCCGGACTCGGGGAGAGTTTCCAGGGCCTCTGCCTCGGAACTTGGGTTGACCATGAAGGGCTTAATCCTTTCGGCTCAGGGATGGCAGGGGCAGGACCGGGGGCAGTCTGCACGTGCTCGCCAGCTGCTGCAGCTGGTGGGAGACGAAGCAGTGGTGCGGAGATGCTGGGCCTCACCGTCCTGCTGGCCAGGAGGCACACACGAGCGGCCCGCCTTCGGAGCTGTGTCTTGCGCCAGAAGCCGGCGAATGGCCGCTCTCTTCTTCTCCGCCCCTGCAGCAAAGTCCCCCCCTTTGTGAAAATGCTGGCTCCCGAGGGGGCGCTCAACATCCATGAGAAGGCATGGAACGCGTACCCGTTTTGTCGGACGGGTGAGTACTGGTGGCGAGTTGGGGGCGGCTGACAGCTGAAGCGTGTGCCGTGGGGGGCAGGGCCAGGTGTGGGGGGCTCTTCCCAGTGGTGTCCTGTGACCGGAGTTGGCCCCCATGGCAGCTGAGGAGATGCTGGCAGGCGGGCAGCTCTCTCCCGAGGAGGCCTCTGGGGCCGCAGCCGCTCTGTGCCCGCGCAGGAGGTCCTCCTTCGGCCTCCTTGCACAAAGCCTGCGCGGGCTTTTGTCTCCAGCCGGGCGACTCCAGCCTGCCAGGCGGCTCTTCGGGAGGTCCCTCAGCTCTGACTTGGCCTGGGTGGGGGACCGGCCTCAGGGTGCCCTGCTGTCCCGTCCACTGCTGAGCAGTCGGCTCTCTGGGCCTCTGGTCCCACATCTTTGCCTTGGGGAGCCCTACTTTTTCTTTTCCTTTCTTTTCTTTTATAACTTCTTTATATCGTTTATATTTCTTATTTATTTTATAATATTAATTTTAATTTTATATTGTTATTTTTGTATTGTATTGTATTTTATTGTGTTGTAAGCCACCCCGAGGCTTTGGCAAGGGGCGGCATAGAAATGTTCTAATAATAATAATAATAATAATAATAATAATAATAATAATAATACTGAAGGTGGCCCGGAGGCCACATGTCAAGGAGAGGCTCCAGCAACTTATGACCACGGTGAATTTCCAGGTGTTTCCATGGAGAAACATGGGTGGCAGACTCCCCTCCCCCCACACCTGTCCCAATCTGAACAGGTGACTTGAACGTGACAGAAGTCACTGCCTTTAGCGCCCACCCGAAGTCACTCTGAAGCTTCAGCCTCGTCCCGCTCCTCGCTCCTGGGATGGCAAGGCTGGAGGTGCAGGCTGGGGCTGGCGGGCTGACACCGGATCTCCTCCGGCTTCTTGGCTCATGAATAATTGAACCCGGCTCCCCGGAGCTTCTGGTTACTGGAAGCGTAGCCTATCGATCGGAGGGCTGGGTCCGGTTACTGCAAGGAGGCTGCAGCACCCTGCGTGGGCCCCCCGCCCCCTGGCCGAGCCCTGCTGCGGGACTGGGGAGCCTGGCAAACGGCCGCAGCCCGGCCAGGCGTGCTCCCCCTTCCCATCCAGCCGGGGGGCCTTGGGGACCAGCAGCTGCTCGCCTAACTCAAGGCTGCTTGCAGAGCTGCTGCAGGGCTCCTGGGGTGGGCCTTCTCCTCCCCAGCAGCCTGCACGGCCCCGGCCAGAGAAGCACGCATGCCGGCTTTGGGCCAGCAGGGCCCAGTGGGCCTGGGTGCTCGCCCCGGGAGCGGTAAAGGGCACCGCTCCCCTCAGTGGGTCGGGGCTGGAGGGCGCACTGCTGGGGGCAGTGGGGAAGAGAGCAGGGCCCTCTTCCATGGAGGCCTTGGGCCCGCTTCCCAGGGGGCCCCCTCTGGACTGTGCAGCCTGAGGCCCAAGCCCAAAGGGCTGCAGCAGCTTCAGCAGAGGGTGGGTTGGGTCGTGCCCTTCAGCGTGGGGCAGGGAGCGGGGGGCCGGTCACCGGGCTGGCAGATCACAGGCCACTGAGGCCCTCAGCTGGCCCTCTCTGTGGCCTCGGTCACCGGGGGCGTCACTGCGGTGTGTCCGGATTGTACGCACTCTGACTGAAGCTCTGCTTTCCCCCTGCATGCCCCGGGCTTCTGGAGCAGTTATTACAGTAAGTTTGGCTTTCTGCCACCACCTTGGAAGTGTGTGTGTGTGTGAGAGAGGGAGCGAGCGAGCGCACAACCTGTGTTCACATACCTGGGTTGGTTGGAAGGCCCTGCGGGGAGGGGGCTGCTGGCGGTGCCCCGTCGGCCCAGGCTCCCCCTGCTGCGCGAGGCGCCTGGCGACACCGGCACATGGGCAGAGCTCCCAAGGGGAGGGGTGCCCATGCTCCAGGTGCCTCCTGGCCAGGTCATGGGGGGCAAGGGGCTGCTGCCCCGCCTCCCCCCCAGGACCCCCGGGAAGGCTCCCAGGGGTGCTTCTCTGTGTAAAGAGAGCTTCTCCCTCTGCCAGAACGAGTACATGAAGGACGACTTTTTGATCAAGATTGAGACCTGGCACAAGGCGGACCTGGGCACGCAGGAGAACGTGAGTGTCCTCGGCTGGCAGCCCTCCTCGGGGCCATAGGGGGTCTCCAAGGAGGGCCGGGGGCATTCTCTAGCAGGAACCACTTGCAAGGAACACCCTTCCGCTTCTGCAGCGGAGGGTCCTGGCGGCTTCCGTGAGGAAAGCTGCTGCTGCGGGGCTCCTGCGCCGGCACAAAGGGGGACGCGGCTGCTGGCGAGGGGGAATCTGGCCACGTCTTCCTTGCTCCACCCCGGCGGTGGGAATGGGGCTGCGGAGCTTTCCTCTGAAGGGAGCAGCAAGCCGGTTGCCGTTGGACCATCCCGAGAAGCCGGGGCCTGCAGGTTCTGGCCAGGTGCAGCCTCCCGTGCCTCTTCCAGGGCCTTGTGTGCTTTTCGGGAGGTGCCCTGCCATCTGCCCTGAGGGTTTGCCTCGAGGCGGAGGCAGAGCATTCGTTTTCTTGAGTTGCCACCAGCTCCTCCTGCCAATATTTTTCCTTGCTGTTTTTCAAATAAACCCATTTTCTGCTACTACTTCTAGTGTGTTTTCAGACAAGTTGAATTCTTTCTCTGTATTTGCTGCTCCAGGAAGCTCCATGGTGGTTTAGCAGTTCAGAATAGAAGTCGAAAGGCTGGAGGTTGGGGAGCTAGGGGCCCTCAGCCATGGAATGAGTTCTGCCCCTTTTCCCGCTTGTAGGTTCATAAATTGGACCCCAATGAATGGAAGAACGTTGAAGCCATTTATATCGACATTGCGGACCGGAGCCAAGTGATAGCAAGGGTGAGGCCGGGGGGAGGGTGGGGGGGCTTCAGGGCCAGGGCTGTCTCGGGTCCCAGTGGGAATGGGGGGAGGGCTGGCTGGGCGGGCTTGGTTGGCTGGAGAGAGGCTGCGCTCCCCACAGAGCAGTCTCCCGCTGGACGAGCTGGGGCTTGGGCTGAGCCACAAATGGCCCCTTGGCGGGACATGGCCTTAGTCTCTGTCCATGTGCAGAGAGAAAGGAAGGAGGACTTGCCCTCTCAGCCTGCATCCTCTGGGGAGGGGTCTGGGCATGGCCAGTCCGGCAAGGCTCTATGGAACAGGGCCTGTCCACTCTGCTCCCAGCCCAGGCAGTGGCCACGTGGCTGCTTGGGCTGGCCGCCCCCGGCACTTGCTGGACCGGTGCAAGCCTGGCTGCTCAGGCTGCCGCAGAAGGTGCTGCGAGGAAGGCGGATGCTCCGTGGAGGAGCAGGGTGAGGCCGGGGTGTGGGGCGAACGGGTGCCTGCCCTGAGTGGCGGCGGCGGCTCCTGAGACCGGGGTGAGGCCCTCGGGCGCGTCTGGGGTCTCCCTTTCCTGATCCGCTCTTGCGGGAAAGGCGAGGTTCCAGGCGCGTCCCTCATGGCAGCCTCCTTCCTCTTCCATCTCCGCAGGATTACAAGCCAGAGGAAGACCCGGCAAAGTTTAAGTCAGTCAAGACGGGCCGCGGCCCCCTGGGCCCCAACTGGAAGGTGGGTAGCCTGGCCCCTCTGGCGGCTGGGAGGCCCTCCGTGTGCATCTCGCGCTGGGCGGGAGCGCCACGGAATTGCAGCAGGGAGGGAGGCAGTGTTGTGCAGACGGTGCGCTTCCGTCCCAGCACTTGGTGGGGCTGGAACCTCGTGAGAGTGAGCCCTCGCGGCAGAGCCGAGGGGGGCCTGCGCTGCCCAGCCCCGACAGCCAGCCCTGCTGAGCCGGGCGGGGAGGTTCTCCTAGGGGTGGGAGGCATGTGGGGGGAAGCGGCGCTGGCGCTCTGTCCCGCCGGTTCCTCCCTGAGGGGTCCTCTGTCCCGCTTGCAGAAGGAGCTGGGCAAGCAGGCCAGCTGCCCGTACATGTGTGCCTACAAGCTGGTCACGGTCAAATTCAAGTGGTGGGGCCTGCAGAACAAAGTTGAGAACTTTATACAGAAGGTGAGGAGGAGGCACCTTGGGCGGCGGCCCGTTCCTCATTGGCAGCAGTGCTTAGGTGGGCCCGGGGGGTGAGGTGCTGCAGCCCGCGGCTGCCTGCCTCCACGGCGGTGCCTCGCAGCCCTGGCTGGGTGGGAGGGCTGCCCCTTGTCCCCTCTGCCTGGGGAGGCCCCGTTCTCCTTCCGGGGCTGGCTAAGCCACAGCGGTAGGACCGGAGGGCTGATGGGCCCGTCTCCTGCTTGCGGTTCGTAGGCAGGCGTGCCAGCCCTCAGGCAAGACGGGCACTGATGGGGGGGCCTGAGTGCTGGAACAGGCCTCTTGGGAGTGGGCCCATGGCCCACCCGCCTGAGTCCCGAGTCGTTCCTTCTTTTGCAGCAAGAGAGGCGGCTGTTTACGAATTTCCACCGGCAGCTTTTCTGCTGGCTTGATAAATGGGTCGACCTGACGATGGAGGACATTCGCAGGATGGAGGATGAGACTAAGAGGCAGCTGGATGAGGTGAGTGCGTGGTCCTCCTCTCCCGGCTGTCCGATGGGCTACTGGAGGGCAGCCATGCGGGGGTGGGGCGTGAGGAGCTCCTTGGGCCTTCTGCTTGTTGGGGACCCGACTTGCTTGTGTGTTCAAAATGCTTCTGTGCTAGAAATCTTAGCTGCTTCTGTTTCGGGCATGTCAAATTGATTTCTCAGTTGTTTAAGCTCAATTACAATTGATTTATTTAACAATGTTTTGCCAACATTTGAATTCTTTCAAGTAATTTCATAGTTTGTTCTTTTCTCTTTTCTTCTTCGAGGCTATAGCCATTATATTTCCTTACATACAAGGTTTACTAGCTTCCCATATTGTTGTCATGGAGAGATCCCTCGTATTATTAAGTCTAAAAAGCCTTCTGAACCTTTTCACACTTCTTCAAAATAGCTTCTTGTAGTGCATGGTTATCATTTAATCTCCATCTTCTTCTAGCTTGCTTTTCTCACCAAACTACTTCTGGTGGATCATGATCAGCGAGTCTCTTTGGCTGAATTTTTGCAGTCTCTAAATTGTCTCTTGCTTTGTGAAATCTGCCCTTTTCTGCCTGGTTGGTACTGATACACTGGCGGTGTTGCTCCCTGGCCCCACTGAGCAGGAGACCAGAGGTTGCTTTTCTTGTTGCAGATGAGAGAGAAGGATCCCTTGAAAGGAACATCAGCTGCAGATGACTAGCATGGATCCCTCTTTGTGCACGGTACGTAGTCCCTCCCGTCCAGCCTGGCCTCAGAATTGTCTCGGACATTAAGCACCCGTGGTAACGATGGCTGTGGCCGTTCTTTGTGGGCTGGACTGCAGGATCAGTGCCTCTGAGAAGAGAGCTTGGCCCTTTAGGCCACGTGATTCCACTCAAGAGTGCAGGATACTGGGCTTAAGTTACAGGAAGCCAGACTCTGGCTAGCCATCAGGAAAAGCGGTTTGACAGGGAGCCGGTGGGCACTCTCACACGGGGGACCTTCAAGAGGCGGCTGGACAGCTCCCTGTCAGGGTGCCTTCCCTAGTGGTCCTGCATTGAGGGCACTGAGCGGGGAGCTGGTTGCGATGGCCGCACAGGCCCCTTCCAAGCTGACTATTCTAGGATGCTGGGGACTGACTGAGGGCCGGGACAGCGAGAGCACCTTTTGCCCCGAAGGGACCCACGACCATTCCCCACTCCCTGCTGTTGCTATCTTGGTTCATGCCCAGCAGTGCTGCCAGGGGGGCGCTGGGCGCTGCTTTCCCGGCCCGTCTAAGTAACCCAGATGCCATGTGTGCGTCCATCTCCTTTCCTCCTCTGCAGCTTGCAAACCAGCCAGCAGGAAGGCCCAGGAGCTCCACCCTCCCGCCCAGTGGACCATCTCTGGATCACGTCCTCCTCTCTCCGAGTCAGCAGGCTACTTCCAGCCTCCCCTCGCTAACTCTAGTTGCCCCCAATATTGTGAGCAAATAGACAGTCCTGAGCGCTCTGCTTGGCACCTGGGCAGGCAGCGGCTCCTCCGGGACGTGGCATCTGCGGCTCTGCCACCTTCCCCAAAGAGTGTCCGGACCCTCCCACCTGACTCTTTGGTTTCCAAGTGGCAGTTTTAGCTGAACTAGTTTTGTGATGTGGTGATTTAGGTTTCATATGTGTCTATATCTATCTATTTTCCCCTTTTAAACACTGGGATAAACTGCTGCCTTTGTTCTCTCCAGCTCCTCACTTTTTGTCTGTTTGTGGAGAGGGGAACTCAGTATTAGGGTACACAGACCGCTGTTCTCATGCCGGGGCGATCCTTTGGCACTCTGAGTGACGGCGGTGGGCAGGTGGGCAGGGTCCCGAGCCCGGTGCTGCTGCTCTTGCACTGTGCTTGGAGCACCACAGCGGTCTCTGCTCCTCCCCTGGCTTCCTTGCTGTCGAGCCGGCGGTGTAGTTTGGGGCCCGCCTTCTCCGATGAGCACTGCTGCTTCTGGGGTTGTGGGTGCTGGTTGCGGCGAGCGACGGCACTGACCCCTTAGAACCATAGCGGACATAGTCCTTAGAGTCCGCCTCCTTGTTTTTTTACGCTGGACGGGCTCTCGCCGGGTCACCAAACAATGGCACGGGTGGGATTTGGGTATTCCATTTTGTTGTGCTCAGGTGCTGCTGTGTTGGGCGTTCGGGCTGCTTTGGAGCAATAAGGCTGGCAGCCCTGGGTGGGGACGGGGACGGGGACGGGTGGGGGGGGTTGCTGCTTTGGTCATTGAGAGCGGCAGGTCCAGCGGGTGTCTGCTAGACCGGTGGACCTTCCCCATCTGAGCTGCTAAAAGCCAGGCATGGCTCTCCTGGGAGCCGTTCTCTGCTGTAGACAATCAAGTGAGCAGGATGGGGCTGAGGACACTGCTGGGAGCGGCGGGGGCTGCCTAGCCGTGGGGTGGCACCTTCCAAAGCCGCAGGCTGCAGGGACTCCGCATCTCTCCCCCTCCAAGCAGGTGGCCGTTCTCAAGGCAGGACTGCCTCCTGGAAGGGGAGAGGGGCCAAGCCTGTCCTGAGGGTGGAATACAGACCGGAAACTTGGCTTTGGGAGCAGGAGGTGGCTTTGCCCCTGAAGGGAGGCAGTTTATCCTTGTTATCCTATCATTTTGTTTATTTTTGCCTTACTGATGTCCAAGTGCAATAAGTGAACTTGTTCTATCCTGGTAGCTGTCTCTCTCCGGGCAGATGCTTTCTGAATGACCTTGGAAGGCTCTCTTTTGTTGTTTTGCAGGGGAACTTGGGTTTTAGTAGCCTCATCAAGCAGGAATGGATCCTTTTCTGTTGAGAGAGAACCCCCAGCAATCGAGGCAAAGTCCTTTGGGACCAGGAGTAGCTTGAGTTACTCCTTTATTACTACCCCCAGAACAAGCAGGCCTGTTTAATCTTCCAGTAATTCCAGGGATGGGGGAGAAGAAAACCCTGCTTAATTGGCAGTTAAAACAATGAACTTTTTCTGGGGAGGGTCAATAAAACATAAGCGGATTCTTACGCTTGAATGTGTTACTGTTTTCAAGGCTGCTGTTATATCACTTCTGCTGCAGAAGGATTTGTGTTTTCGCCGAGAGGCTTTCTAGCTGTTAACACCATATCTCTATGGAAACAGATGGTGACATTTTCAGGGGCAAGAGAGAATAATGAGAAAGGCCTAGTATGGAGCTGTGAGCGCGCTTCTCAAAACACAAAGCTTTCCTGCCTGAGCAGTGAGAGCAGGCAAAGTGCAACTAACTTCTGTCTGTGTGTTATTTGTTCTGTCCTTTACGTATATCTGGAATTCTGCCCCCAAGCCCGGAGCTGCTGCTGAGGCATCCACGGAGCCTCTGCTTCCCCAGCGGCACCCGGGACTGACCTCTCTGTTCCTGCTGGGAGGAGGAGGAGAGCAGGGTGATGCCGACAGGTGGTGTGGCACGGGCACGATATAGTGTGGTGCGTTCCAGAACCCCCAAACCTGTTCGCTTCTGGGTCAGAGTGGTGCTTACAGTACTGAGACGCTCCCTCCGGGGCTGCCCTGCTTGGGTCTCCCATCAACAGCAGCTCCGGTGGGGGGAGAGAAGCCCCCTTCCCAGCATGTTTTTGCCTTCTGGGCTCATCCTTTGCCGGTCCCTGCAGGGATGCCCTGACCGGTTTTAATTGGTTTCCTTGTGCTATTCCTTTTTACGGCATACACTTTGTAGAATTGATTAGATTATCTCATTGTTTCTTTAATGTGAGTTTGTGCCTTTTTTGTCTCCCAGTCTTCCAATACAGGCATATTGGAAACAACTCTAATAAAATCATAGACAGAGTATCCTAGAGTCTGGCTTGGTGTTTATTTTTGGGAGTGTGAGAAAAGGGGGGCTTCCTCATCTCCCCCTCCCCAAATATGTGTCAGCAATCGTGTCAAGGGGAACAGCATCAGCAGAGCTGGACTTGCTGTCCTTGAGATGGGAGGATCCCACACCCACCTTGCTTCTGGGCTAGGATTTCCGACGGCGTTGTGGTGTAGCCCAGCACCAAAATCCATCCGGTCGGCTTGCTGGCGTTCTTGCACCCTTTTCCCAAAACCTCAAAGCTACGCGGGGCCAAGCTATGGAGACCCAAGCCCAGTACTGGCCGCCCCCCTTGCAGGCCTCAGTCCACCTACGCTGCAGAGCCAAGCCCGGTACTTCTGCATCTGCTGCCCTCCAGATGTTGAGTGGGGGCCATGTCCCCACGGAGCCCGAGTAGATCATCTCTCTCTGGTTCTTGAGAGAGCATTCTTGTGTCTCTCAGGATGGGGAGCTGAACACAAAAGCTGAATTTTGCAAGAAGAATTTTGCTTGATTTTTTTTCTTTCCGAGAAGCCCCCGCATTGCAGGGTGGAGGCCGCTGCCGTGGTTGAGCAAGGGGGGCGACCCTACAGCCCTGCAGGATAATTGGGGGGGGGGGGGAATTACGGACGGGCGGGGAGCTGAGGGGCTCACAAGAACCCCGCAGTGTCGTCCAGGCACTGATACCACGGGCTGGGCTCGCCCACGGCTGAGCAGCAGCCGCCAGCCCTGCCGGGGGCCGAACCCGAGCGCTTCACAACCACCCTGCAGTGTCGTCCGCTCGGCCATTCCACCCCCCTGCAGGCAGCCCGGCTTGCAGGGAACACTCCCTCCCGCTTGGTGGCCGCAAACGCTGACAAGGCGCCAGGCCCCTTCCGAGGCCCCGCGCCCCTTGCGCCCGAGGGAGGCCAGGCGGGGGGGGGGGAGAGTCCTGCCGAGGGGGCCTGCATCGCCTTGCGCGCGCGAAGGACGTGCCCCTCTACACTCTGCGTAGCTCTAGGTTCGTCCCGCGTTGTTGACGTCACGCAGAAGCCGCGGGGCGGGCCTCGGCCGCGGAGGAGTTCTGATTGGCCCCGGGTCACGTGGGCCGAGCTGCTTGGTCGCGGGCGAGGAAGCGGCCTTCGGCGGCGGCCGGCTCCTTCTCAGGCCCGGGCAGCGCTGGAGGAGGCGACCATGGAGCCGGAGGCGCGGGGGAGGCCCTTCAGGTGAGGCCGGGCGGGCGGCGTCCGTGCGCGCGCGCAGGTGGGCTGCGGGTGCCGGCGAGACGTCGCCGGCGGCGCCCTTCCCTCTCGCGTGGTCCGCGGTGTGCGTAGTGCCCCTGAGCACATGCAGAGCGCAGCACCTGACCCCACCCCTCCCCCCCGAGTTCTTTCCGCTCCGAGGGACGCTGCTGGGGGGGCGCCTGCCAAGGGGCGGGCGCCGGGGAGGGCCGCGCTCGCAGGGCCAGCGGCGCGGGCGAGCCCCTCCTCCCGCGCCCGCTGCGGGACTGGACGCGCTCTCCTGGCTGCCATGGGGATCCCGCCTCAGCGGGAGGAATGTTAATCGCCGCGGGAAATACGAAAGCCGATCCCCCCCCCCGCTCTTCCTTGTCGTGGGACGGGAGACAGCCGCGCATTCAACAGGTCAAGTCCTGTGTGCGCAGCCTGCCCGGGCCGGCGCCCCGGAACCCGAAGGCGCCAGGCAGCGCGACTGCCTTGTGAGGGAGCCCTGCTTCCCTAGGGCTGCTCGACTGGGGGTCGCGCCTACGGATCAAGGCGGCGTCTTCCGCTGACTTATTTGTCAGCAGAACACGCCCCAGTTGCGCCTCGACCGCGCATCTTCCTCCTTTCCTCCACAAACCTGCCGGAGGTCTCTGCCCCTTGCAAAGAAGACGCCAGGGCTGATGCAGAGGGCCAGAGCAGCTTCTTTTGCAGGCCACGGAATGTGCAAATCAGCCAGGTCTTGAGACGAAAGCCATGCTCCATCCTGGATTAACTGCAAGGTTGTTGTCATTTCTACTTGGCCCGTCGCACCCATTGCTAAGCAGTCCTGACATGAGCCTGTTGCTTGCGAGGCTGTCTTTCGCTTCTCGAGTTTTGGGACTCCCCAGAAAGACATGTGGGTGCTCGCTTCTGCGTTTGTCGAGGATCAGTTAGTGACCATCCTGGTTCCAGAAAGCTCAAACATGAAAGCCCCTGGAAGCTCAGCGTGTTTTTTTCTTGTGTGGGGGCACATTATGGTGCCATGGTCCTCTCTTGTGCTTCAGAACATTGCTGAATATCTTTTTTTTTAGAGTATGGAAAGGTCCTTTCCTTGTCTGACAGTAAACTAGATCACTGTGTCTGTTGTGTTACAATTCCGTACCCCAAAACACCTCCCGGTATTATTAAATGTGTTTTGAGTGGGTCACTCGTCCGCTTTGGCCCCTGGCTGTCTGCGTCAGGCTCAGGCGGAGAGATTATGCCTCTCTGACCCGTTGGGCCAAGCATGTGATTGGGCTCAATTAGCAGTAGATTTCCTTAAACCTCTGGCCCTCATTGGCATTAAGCAGAATTCCACTGAGAACGGAATGTTTTTAGCCTAATTTGTGGGCTATCAAGCAGCCAGGAGGGTGCCTTTTGCTAAATTTGTTGCCTTTCCCCTGCTTAGCTTGTGTCGGGAGCCAGGCTTAGTTTGTGCCCCCTTGAGATCTGGGCCAGAGTCCTGGGGGAGAGCTGGCAGAGGACTTTTTCTGGCCCCTGAAGTTGGGGGTGCAGCTCTTCTGGTGGCCACATGGCAACTCTGGAGACTGACGAGGAACTGCAAGACTTATCGGTCTCCTTGCTGGATGTGGAGAATGTGCCTCCGTCCCGCAGCCGCTCTGCCAGCGTGAGCAGCTCCGGCTCCACGGGGCGCGTTCAGCTGCGGCAACGAGTGGCCCAGCTCATGGCGTGTGTGGAGGACGCCAGTTCAGATGATGAGATTCACGAGGAGGTCTCTCGCACGCTCGATGAGGCATTTCTGATCTGTGAGAAGAAACAGAAGGAGAAACTCCAAGGGATCAGGTGCCCTTTGCAGCCTGGTGCCCCCCGCAGCGCACTGGTGGTTTAGGGAAGGGTTACTGATAAATGTGTGTGTGTTTGCGGGGGTGGATGTCTCTGTGACTAAGGGTGGGGTGCAGGTTGTCCCACAGCTGGTTTTTCATGTGCCTCTCATTGAGCTGGGCTGCCTTTTTGTGTGCTTGAAGGTTGCACTTGGTCACCTGGAATGTGGGGACCGCTTCTCCCCCTCCTGATGTCACATCTTTACTTCAGCTCAACTCACAGGACCGGGCTATGGACATGTATGTTATTGGGTACGTACCTGGGAAGTAAGATTTGGTGCTGATTCAGCGGGTGTTCTTTGCACAGTTGCTCGCCTAGTTTTGCTCAGGAATGGCATCCTGGCAATGCAGCCGCCACAGCAGAGAGATTGTGCTCTGATGGAATCTGATGCTGTGCCGTGCACAGTCTGGTCTTTACAGAATTGTGCGATCTGGCGGTGCTGCCGCACTCCGTGTAAGCCCGGGCATTTCTGGAAGGCTTTCCCTGAACATCGTACCTGTGCAGATGCCGGGGCTTGACTTGCTTGCCATGGCCGCCTTTTTACCATCCATCTGCTGGTGGAGGGCTGGATGCCGCCCGTGTTTTCGCCTGTCATCACTAGGCTGCTTCTGTCAAAATACATTGCGGGACTGTTTGGATAACTCTGCGGTGTTCAGTTTACAGGAGGTGAACTCCAAGATTGTGAATTTCCTGTCTGACATGGCTTTTGATGACCCTTGGAGCAGTTTCTTCATGGCAGTTCTCTCTCCTCTGGGCTATGTCAAGGTACTCAGCTGGTTTTCCATGGATGATTCTTAGCTCCCAGCTCGCTCTTTCAAAGGTGTCAGGTGGCCTGAATTCGTCCACGGAATTTCTCCAAGAAAGGGAAGAGAAACTGCCTGTTTCTTGGCAGCTTTTCACTGAGCTGGGCTTGGGCCCTGTTTTCTCAACTCGCTGTGTGTGCTCTGGGTAATTGTTTCTGTGCTTGAAGGGCACACAAGGAGGCATTCCCGGTGGCTGTTCCCTTTCTCTGGGAATTTCCCAGAGCAGAAACCACCTGGGAACACCTTTGTTTCACTGGCTGTGGAAGTCGGAACTCAGCTATCCGGTTTTGTCACGAGGTCTCGTTGTTAGAATGCAGCTGCCATCAGGAGCAGAGGGAGCAGTAGCTGGCCAGGACCTTGGCGTCCCTCCACTGCTGCTCTGGGCATGGAATTGCTGCCCTTCCTTGGGCCCAGGGTCCGGCATGTGCCCCCTGAATGTTGATCCTCTTCCAGGCACAGGGATGGCCTCCCCTTAGGGCAGGGTTTGGAGACTTGGGGAGGCCTGACTGGCTGGCCCGGGAGGAGTGGGGGGGGGGAATGTGCCTTACCCTGGAGGCACCCCTTTTCCAGCGTGGGCCAGCGCTCGCCTCTTCTGCCCACAGGTGTCTTCCATCCGGATGCAGGGCCTCCTCCTCCTGGTCTTTGCAAAGCAGCAGCACCTCCCCTTCATTCAGGACGTCCAGAGCCAGTTCACCCGCACGGGTCTCTTCGGATACTGGGTGAGCCTCTGGGGTGCCTGTCAGGGCCTTGGTGGCTTTCGGCCCCCAACTCGGCATGTCTGGCACTTTAAATCGGAGAGCTGTCTGCCCAGGTGCAAGGAAAAAGAAAAGAACGGCAGCCGGCGCGTCACGGTGGCGAGAGCGCAGGGCCAGGCTCCTGGGAGTTCTGAGCTTTAGACTCCGTGTGACCATGAGGCTCAGTGGGTGGCTCCCCACCAATTACTCCGTCTCAGCCCAGGCAACCTCACAGGGCTGTTGTTGGGGGGGTATAATGGAGGGAGCTGTTCTACCAGCGGCCCCCTGTCTGGTCTCTTGCAGGGCAACAAAGGAGGAGTCACCCTTCGCCTGTCCTTCTACGGGCACACTGTCTGCTTCCTCAACTGCCATTTGCCTGCCCACATGGAGAACGCCGAGCAGCGCCTGGACGACTTCGAGCGCATTCTGGAGATGCAGCATTTTGAACGCGAAGAGGGGCCTGGAGTCCTGGATCACGAGTGAGTGCCAGCCGCAGCACGCCAAGGCGCCCCTGCCGCCTTGGCTTCTCGGAGCAGTGTCCACAGGCTGGAGCCCTTGGCCACCGGCGGCTCTTTTTGCTAGTTCTAGGTGTCCCCTGCTGGGTAGCCTTGAGCCCCTGTGGGAGCTGTGGGAAGACCACCCTGGCAGAGGTCATGGGGCTTTATGGTCGCGACTGTATTCAGGCCTCCACAGGGCCCTGCGAAGGATAAACTTATTTCCCAGAAAATCATTTCATAATGATTTTTGTAATATTCTCAGGTAGCTAACCCAGCTTCTCTCCTAAGTATGCCCCTTTCAGCACTAGGAGACGAAACCTCATCCGTGAAGAAAAGAGCACAGAGAGACTCTATGTGAATTCACGGCTCCACTAGGTCAATGTTTTAGTTTAATCTGTTTTTTCCTCCCACCCACACCCTGACCATCCTTCCTGAAGAATTCTCTTCTGGTTTGGCGACTTAAACTTCCGGATTGAAGACTATGGACTGCATTTCATCCGAGAGTCAATCAACAGCAGCCGATTCAGTCCCTTATGGGAAAAGGACCAGGTGCGGCCTCCAAGTCCCATTCTTCTGTTTCTATGCGGGTGCCCCGTCCCTCCTCGCTGCCATCAGGCCCTTCTGCCCTGTTGCCCCTCATGGCCCTCCCAGATGGACGCGCCCCTCTGCATTCAGCTTAGCTCTCCTCACCCACAATGGCGCTTTGGGGGATGCTTCCATTGTACTCCCAAATGCAGAGGCGACCCTTGCCAGCTTTATGACCTGCCCTCCTTGGCGGATCGCTGAACTTGGCCGTCCCAGTTGCTCCGGCTCACCACAGAGGAAGGCGGCTTCCTGTGGTCCTTCATTCCCACCCTGCAAGGAATGTCTGGGGAGGAGTCTGTGAATCTCTCCTTGCAGCCAATGTGTGGTGATCTTCAGACTCCCCCAAAATGCTCCTGGCATTTGGGTTTGGCCCAGTTGGTTTGCATTTCTGTTCAGTTCATGTCTTTAATCATCCAGCTAAACATGGCTAAGAAGAAGGAAACCCTTCTTCAGGAATTCATGGAGGGGCCCCTGAAGTTCAAGCCCACCTACAAGTTTGACCTGTACTCTAATGAATATGACACCAGGTAAGTGCCCAAGAGCCCCGTCCATCGAGGTCGCCTGAGCAACAGTCGGGCTGATTACCCCGCTGGCCTTGCGCTGATGGCCGTGCCGGTGAAATCGAGGCAATGGGCTGGACTCCCACAGCAGCCACGAGGAAAGCAGGAGGTGCTTCTGGGGACTGCGCTGGTCTCTGGCTCGGTGTGGGGACACTTCCCTTCGGCACCTGTGCTCATTCCCCCAAGAGCCCCACCCTCCCCTTTGGATACGAGGGAAGGAAACCCTCGACTTCGCAACCTAACATACCTTTGTATTTCAGGGGTCAGAAGACACTGTTTTGGCTTAAGTAAGGAGACTCCAATGGACTTCTTTCTAAATCTGTAGAAGCTTAGGCTAATAGATTCTCTTTCTCTCCTAGCCAGAATGTTGCCCTGGCCCGGCTTTCCCTCTAGAGACGGGCCCTAACCTGTTAATTGGCATGGTGGGAATGAACGGAAGGAGCCCCCTGCCTCTGCGTGCAATGGAGAGCGTGCCCATACAGTGCTAACGGGGGCAGTAGGAGGGGCGGCGAGGCGGGCGCCAGTCTTTCCAGCTTGCCTGTGCCCCTCAGGGCTTGTTGGGGAACTTTGAAGCCCAGAACGGAGGGCCTTCCAGGTCTGGCTCCCACGGGGCATAGGCTGCTGACCACCCTTTGAGCAGTCTGGCAGCCCTCAGGCCGCTCCGCTGCCGTGACGGAGATGGGCCTCGTGTGGCGTGGCCCTCCTCCGCCTGGCCAGAGAAGTGAGAAGAGGGAGGGCGCCTCTGGCTGGGTCCCAGGGCAGGTGTTATCCAACGGGGCGTTCCCTCGCACACCTCTTCGCCCGCCCGGCTGCCCAGGCTGCTCCTGCTTGTCTTCTTGAGGGCGTGACGGCCGTGCCCTGAAGATCAGTGGCAGCTCTTGCTGGTGAGCCCAGGAGTGGGGAGCAGTGCTGCCCCCAAAGTGCTGGACTGGGATCTGGGAGACCCACGCTCTGTTCACCACTCGGCCACAGCGCTTTCTGGGAGACTTGCCCGCCTCCCGGGGTTGTTGTGACAATAGGGTTGAGAGGAGGCGGTTTCTGTAAGGTGCCTTGAGTCCCTTGGAGGAAAACAGCTGGGATATGGATATAATCAATATATCAAGACGCACCGCCCGTGTCACTATGGGAAACCTTCTCCTGCGCACTTGGCAGTCGGGGAGCTTTTGCGAACTGATAACACTCCCGTCGGAATGAAAAGCTGCCTCTAGTTGGAATGGTCAGATTAATACTCGATTGCTGCTAGTTTATGGTACCCTTTCCCTTCCCTGCTACCTTCTAGATCTGCTCTGCTTGTGACTGATTTCTCTGAGATGGATTTTGATGACTGCCAATAATCAAACGAGGGGCGAATGCACGAGTATAAAATAGGAAGCAAAGGGGGGATAACAAAGTCTTAGGTTCCAGTGAAAAGGGGTTTAAAAAATGCATATATGGCAATAGAATGGTTTTAAATGTAATTTTACTAAAGCCGTTGTTGAATTTGTACGACTAGAGCTTTTTTCTTGTTTTCAGCTGTCTCCTGTGCTTTGGAGTGGCAACCAAGCAGAATGCTGTATGTTTATTTTTTACGGTTATACTAAATATCCACATTGAGCTCCCAATGGGAAGGGCAACACAGTTTGTTCACTGGCACCTGGGAGTTTTCCCCTCTTTGTTTCCTGTTTGGATCACTGTTGCCAGTGGCAGCTTCCCGGAAGTAGCTGGTCTGTTCTGATCGCCTCCTCTCTGCTATCTTTCGCAGCGGGAAGAAAAGGAAGCCCGCCTGGACAGACCGGATCCTGTGGAGGGTGAAGCCCCCGGGGGCTGGAGCGGGACCTGAGGAGCAGGCCGTTGGGGTGTCTCTGCTCAGCTATGTCAGCCACATGGGTTACGGCATCAGCGACCACAAACCTGTCACCGGGACTTTTCAGCTGGAGGTAGCAGCTCCATTCCCATAGGGAGCCTCACATCTTAGGAATGGCATCTTGGAGGGTGGTCCTTGCACCAGGAACATCTGCCTCCCCTTCCACGCCTCCTGACAGCCCAAATTTTGGCATTAGCACAAGCATCTTCCCTGACTGACACTTGCTTTTCATCCTTAAAGGAAAATCACACGCAATCTTAGATCCTTTGGAAGAGTGCCACAGGCAGAGGAGGCCCAAGGCTTCTTCCGGCTGGCACCTTTTGAACAGCGGTGCTTGGGACCCTGCTGAGTGTTCTGGGCCTGGGTGTGAAGTGGTCCCTCGGAGTGCAGGCAGTGCGGTTGTGGCCAGCTGCCCGCTCAGGCGGTAATCCAGGGGGACTTCTTTCCTTCAGATGAAGCTGCTGGTGTCTGTCCCGTTAGTCGTGCTCCAGCCTTTGGGCAACTGGAGTGCCGAAGAAGACGGCACCGTCAGCTACTCCACCGCTCCAGAGTTCCCGAGCAGTGCCTGGGACTGGATCGGCCTCTACAAGGTAATTGGAGGACATCACTGTGCTGGCGGGAGGGCCAGCTGCCGTCACGGAAAGTGCCAGGTTCCCCTCCGAGTGCCAGGCGGTGCCAGAGTGGGGCCAGGCCGGGCTTGGCCAGGCTGTCCGCGCAGCTTCTCTGTGGCCAGAGGTGGTCGAATGGAGAGGGGCAGGGCCTGGCTGGACAGGCAAAGGGTGTTGGGTGACTAAGCGAACAGTCTGACTCTCTTGTGGGGGAAAGAATATGCAGCTCACCTTATTGAAAACAAAGGTTAGACCTGGAATTCTCTTGGCTTGCATAAGAATCACATGTGACACGCCCAATTTCTGAAAATTCACATTTTCTGGAAATCTTCAAAGAGCTAGCCAATGAGTAATACCTTGACCCTTTAGCGGGTATCTTGGATCTTACAGTTCCACTCTGGCTCGAGGGTACTGCCCCACACTCCTTGAAGGAAAAGCTACAAAGATGTGGTATTAACCGTGTGGCCATGTCCAAGCCACAGTCTTGCTGTATCTGTAAAACCTCCGCAACAGGCACCCCTTGCAACCAAGCTGAGTTCCCTGCCGCCTTTGGGCCTCTCTTGCAGGTCACGTTCAAGCACACCAATGACTACGTGATGTACGCTTGGGTGCAGGACAATGAAATTTCCTCCGGCGTGGACGCAAAGCAGGTGAGGGAAAACTTGAGGGGCTCTTCCGTGCTGCCAGCTTTGCTCCAGGTGATGTTGCGGGAAGATACATGCCTTTGCTTCGCTCTTCCCAGGTGTATCTCAGCGCCAACGAGCTTCCCGAGGCAGGAGGAGAGTTCCTGCTGGGTTATTACAGCAATGTGATGCAGTCCATCGTTGGCATCAGCAGGTCCTTCCAAGTAGGTGCTTAGGATTCTTTCGTGGCTCTTGTACATACCAGGAGGGATTGGAATGTTTCCGGTGGCAGCTTCCGGTAGCTAAGAGCTGCGTGATTCCTCCACGCCTCTCAGGCTCTTTGCTTAAGGGAGCGACTCGCAGACGTGAGCTCCGTCTCCAGCACCGCCTAGCTGCCCACGTCGCTTGGCAAGTTCCGACAAACTGGAACCAGCTCCAGCAGTGCTTCTGTGTGGCGGCTGGCTGAGGGGGTGTTTGTAGTGGCTGAACACCTGCATTGCTTCTGCCTGGGGCCGCTGTGAGTGCAGAAGCCCCCTGAGTCGCCTCTCACCTGCAGGTCTCCTCTGGGTGTTCAGTGATGCCCCAGTCCTCGGTGAGCACTTTTTGGTTCCCCGAGTCTGGCTTGGTCCAGGCAGGAGGGTAAAAACTGCAGAAGATTTCTCCCCTACAGTTTCTCTCCAGCCCAGTGGGAGTGCAGCTCAGTGGCTTCCCAAACGTAATTTCTCCTTTCAGATTCAGCCATCCAGAGGACTGTCTGAGGAGGATCCGCGGTGGGACAGGTTTGGCAGGACTGAAACGCTGTGCAACGAGAAGCCACCATGTGACTTTTGAAGTGTGCCTGTGTCCTCGCACCGGGGCGCCCCCTTTTCCACTGTAGTAATAGGCCTTTGTTTCAGGGAGAGGAGACTGAATATGCAAACAGTCACTTGTGTTTGAGCAGTCCAGAGCACTGTTTCTTGGGAAATAATTATTTCCATCCCTGTCACAGGAGGTTGCGCTTGCCCTGGACTGGGATAGCTCGAGGCTGCACTTGCCTTCAGCTGCTGCTGAGGAATTGTAGCCTTCCCAAGAGGATTCCTGGTGGCAGCCTCATCCAGGGACTCCAACCAGTGCTGAAGTCCTGCTGCTTTTCTCTTTCTCATAGAGTAGGAGGGTTGGGAGGGGCCGGAGGGCCCTCAGATCCAAGCCCCTGCTCAGCGCAGGACTCAAACCCTTCTCAGATGCCTGTCCAGTCGCGTCTTGGATGCCTCCAGCGTGGGAGAGCCCACCTGCTCCCCAGGTCCCTGGTTCCATCGTCGCACTGCTCTTACACTCAGGAAGCTCTTCTTGATGTCCAGCCAGAACCTGGCTTCCGGCCACTCGGGGCCGTTATTCCGTGTCTTGCACTCTGGGGTGATTGAGAAGAGATCCTGGCCTTCCTCTTTGTGACAGCCTTTCAAGTACTGGCAGAGTGTGTGTTGTGTAGGAGATGCCAGGCAGTTCATTGCAATATTAAGCGGTCGGTGTTGCTATTGTTATCATCAGCTAGCATTCCAGGATTCTGCTCCTAAGGTCTATGAAATAGGCCGAGAACTTGGGAGCTAGAACATGTTCATTTTATAGTGGGTAAGAAAACGCTTTCAGTGTCGGTTGCTTGGAAAGATGTGCCAGTGAGACAGCAGAAGGGCCCGGGGAGGGAGACAGGAAGCCCTTGTCCTGCCACGTGGCTTGTTTGTGGCTTCTAGGATTTTCTGCTTCCTGCCCTACACTCTGGTAGTTTTAAACTCCTGGGGTCCTTGATTGTCCGTCTTATATCTAGTCTTTAAAAAAGACACATTGGTTATAGCACCTGGCACCTTCCTGTGGTGCCTCCAGGCTCCAGTTTCAGGAAGGAATTGGGCGAGCTTTCTCCCTGTCTTCCAAAAGCGACCGCATAGCATAGCCAATAGCATTCAAGCTTCCTGGCACCTTTCCGGAGTCAGTCCTAAATTCCTTCCATGCGGTTTCCAGCCGCGCACAGCGGTGCCACTGAAACCCTGTTGGTGCAGGGAACTCTGGCAGCCCCATGTCATGCCACACTCGCTCTGGTTTCGATGTCCGAGAAAGTAGTGGTGGAGACTGTTCCTAGGACGTATCCATGGCCACTCTTCTCACAGGCCCTTGAGGCTGAAATGAGTCGTGTGTGGATGCATCGCAGCCCAGAAGCTCTGATAAGAATTTGTCCCACTTTGCTGCTTATGTGAGGCTTGAAGCGCGCAGAGTCCCCCGTTCAGACGACTTCGGGGTGAGGGCAGAGCGTGTGGAGCAACGGAAATCAGCGGGTGACGGGCTGCTCCTGCGCTTCAAGGGCTCTCACCGTAGGCCAGAGTAGCACGTTCTCAAGGCAGGAGGTTAAAACCAGGCAGGGCTCGCTGTGCTTCTGGCTGGAGAGGAGGAGGACACTGCGTCCATTGGTCCTACTTGCACAAGCTGTGTGCATTTCTTGGTTTTGCCTCGCAAAGGAAGCTCTTGGTGCGTCCCAGTCTCCCGGTTTTCCTTGCCTTGGCTCTCGAGATGAGGAAATCTTGCGCCATTCCAGGGAGGTGTTAGGTCGGAAGACTTAGATAGGGGCACATGCTTGCTCATAGCTCATAGGCAGCTTTTATCAGGCTAGTCTCAGCCGTTGCCTGATGGGTTGAAAGCCGCAGGGACCCACTGCATTTAAATTGCTGTAGTTGGACGGTTGGGTTTTCGGACAGGCCCAAGGGAAGGAGGTGTGTCTGGCTGCTGGCCTCCTTTGGGTCTTTCCAGTATCATGGGGAGATCACCGGGCATTGGCCGCCCACCGCATCCTACGCCTTGCCTGCTCGGGGGCAATAGTGGTGCTTTGTGCAGGTGGCTTTGTTACAAGCCCGTCGATTCTCTGGCCAGGTTATTTTTTTTGTGACTTGCCTGCCGAATTTCATTCTCTCCTTTTGCTGTCACCCAGTTCAGTTGTTCTTTGCTCTTCAGACCTGCTGTGCGGTTCCCCAGGATTCACTAAAGAACTCTTTGGTTGTCGTTCATTAAGTATCTTCTGCCAACACAACACAAGAATGTTGCAGGTGTGGTGTGGGAGATGGTTTGCTTGTTGTTGTTTTTGTTGTGCCAAAGAGTTTTCTGGTGGTCAAAGAGAAATGGATTTATAGTGGCAAACACCTCTGGAAATTGCTTCAGCCTGTCCTGAATGGGGGTGCACTTCCGCCGAACAGGTTCCCGGCTTGGCGGGTGGGGCTTTATAGTTGGTCCTCCTGTTGGATATCTCCATAGCAAGAAGCCCATTTCATGGGCTCAGGCCATCAGCTGCCTCTTCTCGGGGTGACGCTGATCTTGCCTCAGTTATCCGCACCTTGATGCCGGACAGCAACATCCAATTTAAGATCACGGCAGTGTCGTGTGTGTGAAGATGTTCGGGAGGTTCAAAGAACAGCAGGCAGGTGTCTCCTGCGACCTGCAGTGGATTGGCCTTCATCGTCACTGCTTACCAGTTTGTTTTTGCATGAAGTTTGACTTGCTGCTTTTAAGAACTGAAGCTCTTAAAGGCATCTGACAGCCCTTTCTGTGGGACCAGCCTGACAGCCTGCAGCAAGTGCTTCACCTGCGGAAGGCGGGCAGGTGATGGCTTGGGCAAGGCGTCTTACTTGTGCCGCTGCCTTTCCAGGTGGGGCCGCCGGGCTCCCCTGCCAGGTTTAGTCACCAGCTATGAAGGTTTCTTTTCCCAGGCCTTACTGTATTCTACTTCCGCCACAGCTCTCTGTTGCTTAATCGGTATTACGTTCTTTCACTGATTGTTCTGTTTTAGGTCATAGCATCTTTGCAGATTTGGAGGTGGAATAGAAATTGCGTACGGAAATAATAAATATTAAACCTGGTAGCCACTGACGGTGTCACAAGATGGTCGCTTCTGCCTGGTCATTCTGCCTTCCGCCCGTCTAGCGCTGTCGCTTCGAGCCTCGGTGGGGCAGTGTGGAGAGCGCTGGCGAGGCTCAGCCCGTTCCAGTTACAGGGAGTGGCTTCTCTGGGAAGCCGTTCGTTCGGGAGGACTGGAAAGCCCCGCTCTCCAATGGTAGTGCCTGGTCTGGGCGTTGCGGCCTGCGACACCATGTGGGTGGGTGGTGAGAGCGGAGCAGCACAGCTGGAAGGGGAGGCCGAATCCTTTTCACACCTCCCCAGTATTACGTTTTCAGAGCTGGAATGCAGAGAGAGACGCTTGCTAATCAAATCTGTTTAGACTCTCAGAAGGAGCTGGGGGTGTTCTGGCTCCCACCTGTGACGAGATCTCCATAGACTACAAAAGGGGACAGGTATTGCTCGCTTACTGCAGAGGTGCTGGGGATGTGTCAGGGAGAGCCTGTGGCATTTCTGAAGTCAGTGGGCGGCTCTGTCTTTAGTAAATTAATCTCCCTGCAGAACGGACGGACGCAGCTTAAGGCCTTTTAATTAAACCTCCCAGCATGTGGTTTTTCCAAGCCTTTCTCGCAAAGTGTAATCTTTACTGGGGGGTGGGGTTCAAAGCAGACTGGCTCTATGGAAGGGAGCCTCAGGTAGAAAACTTTTGGGAAGTGATGAAGTATCTAAGGACCGTCCTGAATTGGAAAATGAGGGCCAAGTGAACATGATTTTAAAGGTCTGCTAGACACCTATGGAAACGGTTGAGAAGAATTGGACCTGAGCACCCCACATCTGCCCAGCTGTTCCTACATCTACAGCTTTGGTGTTCTTGATGCACAAAAAGTATCTGAGAGATGAGGAAAATGCTCTCACAGTAAAACTTTTAGCTTCATATCTGTGATCTGGAAACAAGCTGACCATGTTCACTTGGAAGCCCTTTACAGCACCCGCCACTCCCATAATGCACTTCGGCAGCCCCATTATTCTTATAAAAGGAAAGGAGGTAGAGGAAGGGAAGGGTACCTGGGGAGCGGTTGTTACATCCCCCCTTCTTCTTAGGCAGAGGTACCCAAAGCACTTTTTGAAATGTGACCCCAGAAGTTGAGTGTTCTTGGAACTTGGGCAGAAAAGGTGCTCCGAGTTCGAGAGCTGCACGGTCTGTGCTGCTGTTCCTGAAACCTCGAGCAGGCCTGGCACCTTTGGGTGGCTTTCTACATATGTCACCGAGGAGACGGAGCAGCTGCTTGCTTGTCTCTTGGCCATCTCTCTCTCTCCCCCGATTAGCCACCGCTTCCAAATGCTCACCCGCTTCCAAATGCAACCGCCGCCCCTCTCCATCTTCTTTCTGGACCTCCATGAAGCCCTCAGTGGCTGGGGGCTTCAGCCAGGAAGGGGCTCAGGCACACAAAATAGGATGTCCCCCTCCCTCGCCTCTCGTCAGCTCGCATAAATGCGGAGAGTGCTGACGTGGAGAAGCGAGCATGGCTGCTGCATGTGCTCTGTGGATTTCCTTGTCTGACCTTGCCAGGTACTGATTGTTTTCCAGGATTTTATCTTTCCTTTTGCCGCTCGCTCACTGCCTGGCCTTGGACTAGCTGTTCCTTCCGTCTCTGTTAAAGTTGGAAGGGCTCTGGTGAGAAGTGGGCGTGAGTCCGGGGAAGGGGACTCCTGTGGAGAACTAGACTCTCTCCTGGGCAAGCTTTGATTTGGATTGCTGCCTAGATCATAAGCTATCTGAAGCAGCCGTTTGCAGAGAGTAAAAAGCAGCCAGTGGGGAGGGTGAAGAGATGGTGGGAGAGCACCATCAGGCTGACACAGAAAGCCCCAGTAATGCTGCCAAACATGTTAGCAGAGCTGGCGAAATGCTGAAAGGGGTCAGTTTTGAAGGTGCTGCAGGCTTGTTGGAAGAGTTCACACGATAAATGGGGCATTGACAACTTCAAAACAAGACGGTCCCTTTTGTTCCTCTCAGTGAAGGCAGCCAGATCAACCTTCTCTTTGCAATGTTTGTTAAACATTAATAGTGATGTGGCACTTTAGCTGGAGTTTTTTGGTCGTATGCTTGAAGGCTGTGGGTGTGTTTGTGGCTTAGTAATATGTTTGCACTCTCCAAGTTCCTTTTTAATTTTATTTATATCCCACTTTCTTCCTTCCAAGGAACTCATAGCAGCTTAGATAATTCTCCCTCTCCTCTCAGCTTCATCCTCACAACCACCCTGTGAGGTAGGTTGGGCTGCGGATCCAAAGTCACCCTGTGAGTTCCTTGAGCTGGAATCCCACTGGCTTCTGACTTGGTTATCTACGTTAAAGCTGCTGTGGTGGCCAGACAAGTGCAGTTGTGGAGCACGGATGGAGGAGGAAAAACTCCCTCTGGGATGGGTGGAGACCTGGCTGGGCTCTGCCGATGGTCCCTCACTGCCTTCCCCTTCTGGTGCTCTCATTTCACACATACTTGGCAGCTGTGGCCTTCCTGGGGCATCAGGTCACTTAAAATAAGAGGTATATTTTTCCTTAAAGTGTGATCTCCGCTGATTTTTACCAACCATGAAGATCTTTCCTCACATTTAGATTTGTCTTTCCACCCCACCCCACACATGCAAAGTAGGTTATCTCTCCAGCTTTCCTAGAAGCTTCTGGTCTTCCACCCTCTTTGGAATTGTGTACCTCTGCATTTACATAGCATATCTGCATACAAACAGGAAATGTTTCCAAGATATTTTGCATGCTTTCTGGACCCTAAAAATACACTCTGATAAGAGCTATTGTTTCTTTCACTATGGCTTCCTGCTGCCCAAATTTATGTTTTCCTTGAGGGGGAAGAGGGAGCACGTGAGGGCCCAGCCTGACAGTTCCAGAACATTGTCTGCCTTCTCCTTACCTGATTATCCTCCACTGTGGACCAAATGAGGTACTTCCTCTCCAGAAGGGAAGAAGACAAAAGGTCATGGAAGTTTTGCAGTCTCCAAGAGTGAATTTCCATGGCGATATCCATCAGAGAAGCACTTGAGGAAGTAACTCCAGAGGTGGGGAACTCGGCTGTCTGAAAGTGCCAGGAGAGAATCCATTCCTTCCTTTGTACCCTGCTTACGGCCCATGTAGAAATGAAGGAACAGGGGTGGAAGCATTTTATTTCTGTAAAAACATTTTTATACTCCTTTCCTCCCTGACAAAGTAATTTACAGAACAAAAGCCAAACAAAACCCATTGAATCACTAAAATTAAAACTGAGGCCTCAAAACTGCAAGAAGCCAAGATAAAATCTTGAATCATATATTAAAAGCCACTTGGGAAAGGTGTTTTCATTGCCTCCCTTAACGTGAATGTGGCTTGTCTCACCTTCCTTGGAGGAAAAGCTGTTACTGTCAGGATGCCCCCCGAAAGCCTGTCTCACGTACCCCCAGTTTGGTGGTGGGAAACAGAACTGGGCATCTGAAGTTGATTACCAACCTGGGCAGTCTGATGTGGAAGGAGGTGGTCTTTCGCACATCCTGCAACAGCGGCCATCTACTCGTTAAAGAAGCCTCGTTAAAGAAGCCTCATTAAAGAGGCCGCATTGTTACTTCTAAATGGTTAAGGCAAACTGTGCAACAAAGAGTTTGATTCTGCACACCCTCCGCTCTTTCGATCACATGCTCAGGACTGCAGCCTGTCTCCACATTTCAAAACCTCCTTTTGAGAGGCTGACATAACCGCTCATTGTCTGAGAAAAAGGCCTTTCTCGGACCGGTTCTGGAAATCTGTCATTTTCCCGGTTATGGCTGCACACGGGAGCCAAGATGGCGTCAAAAAGCAAGCAATGCGTACGGTCCACCGATTTGAACAGACATCAGTCAACTGAGTGCCATCCTCTCTGGGTAGATGAAACATAGTTTCATGCTGAAAGAAAGGCCAATTGTCGCTGTCCTGGAATGCAGATTGCAGAAAAAAGGCTATTCTTGAGTTTCTTCAGCTTGCTTGGTCCTGGGCAATGGGAGCGTCCTACGTGCCCAGCAGCCACGATGCAGGAAACTTTGCCAGGATCCCAAGGTTGCTCTTGGATGAAGGTGTCTCTTGATCAATTCACCTTCGCTCCACCCCGAACTCTTAGCAACCACCGATTTTAGCGTTATTACAAACTCCGTTTATCAGCAAATGCCAGAGCCACACTTAAGATAATTTCATTTTTAATAATATATTTTTCTTCTGGTATTTTCACCACCCTCTGGAGAAGAATCCTTCCCACACCCTGTCCTCAACATCTGAAGTTTCAGTAAACAAATTTATACGAAGTACAAGTTTTTTCCAAGCATAAATAAAACTAGTTTTATTTTTGGAATGCTGTTCTCTGGGGAAAATATTTGGACAGCTGAAACACACCCTGTGCTTTCCAGCATTCTCTATAGCTTGTCTTCACCTTTCACTCCATTTTTCATCAAAATGTATTATATCTGCCCCCCTCTCTGGGTGCTTTGGGACAAAGCTGTGAGATCACTTCTGAGGGGTAAGCAAAATTAACTGGGGCAATTAATTCCAACCAATTCTAATTCCTGCTTTGGAAACAGAGCTGAGCAGACAGACAAATGCCCTTTACTCAGTGGGAAAGCAGCTCCGAAAACAGGCAGAGCTTGCTCAGGACTGGGGCCATGTTCCCTGGGCCTGGATGCTCAGAGGGCAGCACCTTCATACTAGCCCTTCCACTAGCCCTTCCGCTGGCCGCTTTCCTCTGTCCTGGCCAACCTAGGAGTGCTCTGCTTCAGTCCCTGATCGTTTCCCCAGCCAACGGCCCGACTCAGCACAAAGCCGCTCTTGTGTTCCTCTTCTGTCATGTCTTCTAGACAGTTTCTGGCGTGTTTATTTCCTTGGCCATACGCTACACCTGCGTGACCTGCAGTTCCTTCCCGGCTTTGTGTGTGTGTTGAATTCTCTATTATGAATGCACCGATTTATTTAGGACGAGGTGCAGCCTCGGTGACCCACATCTGTAGAATGGGTACATGGTTCCTAGAATGCCTCTAATGCTGTATT